TTTGTTTGCTCACTTTTATGCAAGTTTCACTATTTTGACCTACCTACTTCAGGCATCCTCAGGTTCTTTTCTCCTTTCCAAAGCAAAGGCTGATGTTTCACACTGCATGGCCACACCTTTCACTCTTCCACCCATCTCTCTTCAGGCCTCTCCCATGCCCAGCTCCTGACAGAACTTGTCTGGCTTTGCCCTGGGGGCAAGAGAGGAGAAGGGGTGGAGGAGAAAACCCTCATGCCACTGACAGGCAAAACACATAAATGATTCTGAGGCTTTTCTAACCCTATGCAAAACCCAGCCAGGATTATGGGATACACTGGAATGCATTTCTTCAGAGGACCAACTGGGAGTTGGTACCACCAGGCTTTCTAAATACATGGAGTAAGACTGGCATACTTCAGTGGATTATCTCCACTTTGTACTTCCTAAAAGCATGCAGGAACTTTCTGGGTGCAGAAGGGTGCTCTGTATGAACAAAGGTGGCTGAGGTGGCTGTGCAATTCCAGGTATCAGCTCAAACACAGCAACTTTTGTTTCACTGGACTAGGAAGGAGGCTGAAAGGGGGAATGAAATGTGTTGACCTACCAGCTACTTATCTCAGCTGATCCGTGGCTAGGAGTTGTGCTTGATTTGTGGTGGCAGCAATACTGTGAGCAGGCAGGAAGGGCACTGCAGTGTCCCTCTGCAGCGCTTTCATCTTTCAGTGTCTCCACATTGATACAGAGATTTGCTTCATGAATCATAAACTGAGCAAGCTTTTGGAATGGAAGTTTTTATCTGCTATTCACAACACATGTTGTTGTGTTGGAAAAGACTAAGAGGGAACAAGTCCCTACTAAAATACAACCCAGATAATCTAAGGAGAGTATCAAGAAATGGCACATGTTCAGTCTGAGACATGTTTTTGTTGCGGGACACCTTTCCAGTACTGGTGTAGTTCACTGGAGGGGTAAGTTCTAAGCACAGCAGGTTTCCTGAAGATACAGCCCCAAATTAATTGACGATGTAAAAGGGCAACATTCCTTTGCTGCTGCTCATGAATTGTGCTAGCAATAAAATCAGACCAAGCAAGTTAAATAGCCTTGTAAATGATGTAAAATTAGCTCTAACCTCATCTCCGGCACCAGTAATATACTTAAGACTCTGGAAGCATAGATCATGTGTGTATATTGTGGTTGATAGTAGCTTCAATCTAGACCTGTTTATATAAATTAGTGGCTTTATCTGATTTTGTGGCCAGTCAAAAGCATAACTCTTCTATTACAGTGCAAATCAGGATTTAAACCTACAGTCATGGTTGGGGTTTTTGGCCAGGAGCCAGCGCAGGCCTCTCTTAGAAAGCCTTCCCTTAGTGCAGCAGCAGCTAAAACCTTCCTTTCCACTCCCCTCCGACCTCCGGGCATGTCTCATTAGCAGATTAAGTCCAAAGTCAAACGACTCCTCCGGGAGCAAAGGATGCAGTGTCTACAGAGCCTGCCACTCCAGCTGAAATGATTTTTCTAAAGCCAGATAAGGAGCTCTGTGACTTGCCAATGGGGAGAAGATCTAGAGATAAGGTTTGGTTTGCAAAACTTCACTCATTAATAAATCCTGGGAAAATCTGCACTAAGCTGTGATGTCACAGCCCTTGCCTACTTTCAAGTTAATGATGAGGAGGCCATGCTAAGCTCCTCTGTCATCATAAATCTCTGCTTTCCTACACCCGACAGTAGGAAGACGCCTGCCCTGCTGCTGCCCCGCTCTCATCACAGCCCTAGCACAAGGGATTGCTGTAACTTTCCACCTGCCTCCCTGGCTGCCAACCACCCGGGTCACCCAGGGGTAACCAGCGGGCAGGGAGCCTCCAGGAGCTGCCACGGGGATTAAACCACCTCCCCGGGCTCCTGCCCTCTGCAATTTTCTGGTCAGTAACTCTCTGAAAGGAGAGCGTGTCTAGTGTGGTAGGGAGGGGCTGGCAGGACAGTATGATGAGAGCTCAACGGGGAGAAGAAATGGGGGCTGGATTCCTTCCAGGACGGAAAACTGTCTGTCCAAGAACTTGTCCGAAACACAAATTAAATATTCCTCTATCCACCATTAAATTAACCGTGAATGGGTGGCTGTGCAACATCCTGACAGGCTGTGTAATGAGGAACACCGTGTCTCCTTTCTCTTTTATTTCTCTGCATTTTCCTCTGTCCCAAGCAGGAGTTTCTGTGTCTGTAAGTCATTCGCTCCAGGCCGAAGCCTCCAGTGAGCAGAAGGGTTTGTTCAAGGAGCATTGGGACCATGCACAATTATTCCTGACTCTTAATTTAGTAAGAATGTTACAAATAACCCAGACTTCTGAGTTCCAACTCATAAGCAGCAACTCACCTAATAGCAGGTTTTGCAGAAGGAGATGAATTCAGGAGAGCAGGGAGGTTTGTAGGAAATCTCAGGCCACAGTAGTAGACCTAGGAGAGCCTTGGTGAAACTGCTGCAGGCAAGAGGAGACAAGTATTGCCTACACAGGAACACTAAGACAAAGCCTTCTGTAAAGACAGAGATCAGGAGCAACAGAAACCTCAATTAGGAGGCTAATGCAGCAACTAAAAGTCTTGTCTCTCTGTAAGATGTGATATCCTCAGAGGCCAGAGGGAAGCCCTTGCCAATTTAATTTGGCGAGATGTCAGAGAGAAATAAAAAGTCTTATATGTCTTGTAGGAACAGTCACGCTTGAATTTGGACCAAAAGCAGGTTGTATTGAGTTCTGAGTTTTATCCATCTGTAAAAAGTAGCAGCAGTGACGGCAGGAAACCTCTTGTCTCATTGGGGAACTTTCCCCTTTCACAAAAGAATGTCCTTTTATTTGCTGCTTTTTTCTTACTCAGGCTGAAGCTTTCAGCCGAGTGTGAACAATATCAAGGACACAAAAACTTCCCACAGAAAAAGAATCACTGCTGAAGTTAATGCTGTCAGCAGGAGAACCAGCAAATTCTGTCTTCCCCAGAAGGCCCAGATTTTAATGGGGTCACTTCGCAAGACTTGCCTGTAGGATATTAAAGGTCCCAAAGTAACTGTTGGGACATAAAAAATGTTATGTCCGAGAGTTACATCACAGACAGATGTTCCTTTGACAGGTCGTCCTTTGCTTACGATTCTTCCATGTATCTTTCCTGACATCTGGTGCATCAGTGGCAGCTCTTGGGAATAGGAGGCTGTGTGGATGTTTGAAACAGATTAAAGTGAAGAGTGAAGGATCTACTTTTTATTTTGCAATAGCAGTGGGAAACCTGGAGTGCTGGGTATGTGAGGCCTGTTTGTTGCCTTATTCCCCTTGTCATAAAATCATAGAAGCATAGGATGGTTTGGGTTGGAAAGGACGTTAAGATCGTCCAGTTCCAACCCCCTGCCATGGGCAGGGATGCCTCACACTAGACCATGTCGCCCATGTCTGTCCAATCTGGCCTTGTCTGCCACATTAATTCTCTTTCTCTTCCTCTCCTACCTTACATCACTCTTCAACTTGTCAGTTCATTTTTTACTGTCTCATTTGACTGATCCAGTCCTAAGAGGCTGAAGTTCACCCTGTTGCAAATTCAGAGTAGGCATCAGACTTGATGCTTAAGGTTGACATTTTGTAACGTTTTTTTCTTCCCTTTCCAACAGAGGTGTAGGTTGTGAAAGAGAGAGCAAGTATGTGTGTGCTTGTAGCTGAATGGTATTTTGTAAATATTTCCTGAAAGCTTGTGAAATTTCTCACATGTTCTTGGTTTCCTGTCAAGTCTGCAGAGTAGGCATAAGAATTATCCCCCAGTCTAGCCCTGAGTTCAGCAGTGAGTAAATAGCCATTGGTTTTACAAGCTCTGTGCAGATGCCAAAGCCTGATAGCTGCGGGTGATGTGCTGAGGCTTTCGAGGACAGGCCAGTACACAAGCTCCATTTTTAGCCAGATGTTTTCCTGCAGTTTTGAAGGTTTTTAATGGGCTTTTCCTTGAAAATTACTTCACCTGAGAAAGGATTTCCCATGAAGGGGCTCTGGCGTATTTATACATGCTCTGAAGTTCCTAGTTAACCAACTCATTGGCCCTCTGGTGATTTCGAGACTATAACTGTATCAGTCTGTGTGTGTTTATGTTCACAGATGTGGCAATGACTTATAAATGGGATTAAGTTATTATTTGTAATACTGATTTATATTAAGTTATGAATTTAACTCATTTAGGAAAGGGTTGAGAACCCAAGTGAGTAACCTTAAAAAAAAATAGAAGGTTATATACCAGGAAAAAATGTTTTGGTTGAATCTTTTTATCGGTAGATGAATGTTTGAAATACAGTGCTGGAAGCACCAAATGTTTTGTTTCTATGGATATTCACAGTTGTTCTTTGTATACAAGCAGTATTGTAACATCTTTCCTGTGTTAAATGGGAGTGGCAAGAGGGATCTTGCATATATTAGTTGCAAAATAAATTTGTGCTTGAAATTTCTCACTTCAGATGTATTAGGATGAATCTCTTGTTTGAACTGCAGTTAGGACACCAGCCTGCAGACAGCACTGCAAACAGTTACAGATGATATGCTGAAAAAACATCTTTTACTGCAGAGCAGATGCTGTCTCCAAATGTAGAACAAGAAGCAGATGACATACCAGATATATAGGAAGGTCTGGGATTTTAGAAGAAATTTATCTTTGTGTGTGTATAGCAAAATCAGGGATAGATTTGAAATTCTGTGATACAGAAAATTCGCCAACTGTTTCATAGATTTGTCATGTCAGGCTAAAGATGTGGCATGTTGTATTGCTTGTAAAGAACCTGCAAATAGTGTATCAGCACTAGGATACAGCTACCTCCAAGATACTCAAGTCCCATCCCCATGTAATAGGAAATCATTGTTAGTTCTAAATGAAACAATGCAAAGGGCTGGCAGTGAAAACGCAACAAAGATATTCATCAAATTGTTGAAGTTAGGAAGCATGTTTTAATTATTTTAGATTTGAAGCAGAAGCAGTTTGACTCTAACAAAAGTTTCTCGCTGCAGATCATCCTGTGGGGTCGAACTGAGAAATGCCTGAAGGAGACCACAGAGGAAATCAGGATGATGGGGACAGAATGCCATTATTTCATCTGTGATGTAGGAAATCGAGAGGAGGTCTATCGGCAGGCCAAAGCTGTGCGGGAGAAGGTTGGTGTCTGTGTAGAAGCACTGTTTGTGGACAGCACTGAGTAATGACTCTGATTGATAAGGAAACAAATAGATGGGCAAATTGGGAAAAAAAGAGGGGTGACCATCCAGATTGTGTTGTATAGAGTCCAGCTACCTGTTCTAAGTGATTACAAGCCCTATAAGCAAGAATGTCAAAAGCTAGGAAAATAATAACATATTTAGGTAATAATAGATACTGAGATCTAGTGGTGACTGCCAGCTCACAAGGACAGATATTAGTTGTAACAAGGAATTTGTTTTTTTTTGCAGGTGGGTGATATCACTATCCTGGTGAACAATGCTGCTGTGGTCCATGGGAAGAGCCTGATGGACAGTGATGATGATGCACTGCTCAAATCACAACATATAAACACCCTGGGACAGTTCTGGGTAAGAGGAGCTCTTGTAGCAATCACATGCATTCGGAATTGGGAGTGAGTGGCAGGAGCCAGCAAAAACTTGGCTGTTACTAGCTCTTTTTAAACAATGCTTGTTAAAATGAGCCTGTTGTGAAAAGGAGACAGAAAAAACAATGTGAGGGGAAAAGCCAAGGGAAAAAAAAGTCTAAAAATTTGATTTTTCCCGGTAGTAACAGTATTTGATGTTCTTGTAGCCCCATTCTGTGATTTCCAGTAAAACGTCTGATTTCTTTTGGGAAAGCCTGAGCTCTCAGAGGATAGTGCTCTGTACAGAGACGCCTGTGGACCATCAGAGGAGAGAGATTTTGTTTTGTTTCTATACAAACTGTGCCTGTTTATAATCTCAGAGAATGACAAAGCAACAAGGTCCCGTCCCACTCTTCCCTAGCATAGTAAACAGCACAATGTGTTGTTTCTGTGTCACCTTATATTTTTTTTTAAGTGACTCTTATTTTTGTTGCATCTCTGCTGAACAAACTTTTTTCTTTTTTTAACACTGTTGTTCTTCAGACCACCAAAGCATTCCTGCCAAGGATGCTGGAGTTGCAGAAGGGACACATTGTTTGCCTGAGCTCTGTCCTGGCCTTGTCAGCCATCCCTGGTGCCATTGACTATTGCACCTCCAAAGCCTCATCCTTTGCCTTTATGGAGAGCCTGACCTTAGGGCTGCTCGACTGCCCTGGAGTGAATGCCACAACAGTCCTGCCCTTCCACACCAGCACAGAGATGTTTCAGGGCATGAGAATCAGGTCAGTCAAGGGGAACTAGAATAAAGCATCTCATCTTAAATGAATCATCACAATACACTCCTAATTAATGCTTTATTTAGTTAAGAGAATTTGATGTCTCATTTGGCTGCCTGCAAACAGAGGGTCACTCTAGGCCAGCAGGGACTCATCAGACTGGTTCCTTTGGTTGCTGGTATATTCACACAGCCTGCCTTACCAAGTGAGACATTTGCTTCTGCATAGAAAGCTGAAAGTTATTTTCCCTGAGTGTATTTAGGCCATATGCAGTCACCACAGAGGGAAGGGAGGTAATCTGAAAGCTGAGGTCATTTAAGAGGCGCAGTCTACATATTACTTGAGAATTAACAGTACAATTTCCTTCTTTATTCATTGAAATACTTAATTCTTTCCACTGAAAGGAATGACAGCCAGTACATGAAGTAAAGCTGCCAGTGCCTCCTTTCAACCTCAGTCTAAGAGAACAAGCTAAATTCAAAGACTAAAAGCTGACTAAATTAATCTTTTACAATGGACAAAGTAACTTATTAATATAGTTAGTGCTAGTGTTCTCTTAGACAAGAAAATCTGCAGTGTTAATCTATTGCTGGAGCTGGGAAAAGCCTTCTGTTTGGTATTAAAGGCAATGCCTTTCACCTGTCAAGAATATGAATCAAGCAAAGAGCAATAGAGAGGAAGAGGAAAAACAACACTGAAATGACAGCATTTTGGGATTAGTTTGCATGCAGTTTAAGAAAATCCCTGAATCAAGGTTCTGAGCACACTCTGCCACTTCTTCCTGAAGGCACCAACATGTACATTTGTAACATTTAGTTAAACCAGCAGTACTGGTTGGAACTGGGCTTTCTGCTTCCAGCATTCTGGCTGAAACTGGAGCTTTCTGCTTCTTCCAGCCTGCTTTGGGGCATGTTTTAGCACCAGAAACCAGCGACAGCTTAGTGAGTAACAGGACTTGGACAGTGATATCTTAAAGCAGGAGGTTGGTTAACAAATAATTATTTTATTTTTTACTTTATTTACTTAGGTTCCCTAACCTTTTTCCTCCTCTCAAGCCAGAGACAGTGGCTAGGAGGACAGTAGAAGCAGTTCAGATGAATCAAGCATTCCTGCTCCTTCCGTGGACAATGCATGTTCTTGTCATCCTAAAGAGGTAAATATTTCCTTTGCCCAGCAATAGCCTCACCAATTTGGCAAGACTGGCTCACAGTCCCTCTATGTCTGTCAAGCAGTTTGGCTGTAACCCAATCTCTAGGGTCAGATTTGCCTGTCCCTTCCCAAGAAAGACATAGAAGCAAAAACTTCTTGAGATTCCCTTCATAGATGTTTTGCCTAGATATGACCCTTTTATGAAACAAGTTTCACTCCCCAAATTTGGATTCCTGAGGTCTGAATTAGCATTTGTATCTAGAAAATTTCTTAACAATTAACATATGCATGGAGCTGATTTGGATTTAGTAAGCCACTGTTTGGGCTCCAGGCTCTGTGTTGTAAAGGATTTCTGCGCAACAAGGTATGTACATCACAGCTGTATTTCCTTGTGCTAAAGCAATCAAACTGTTAAAAGAAGTATTTTGTGTATGATTAGGACAGGAATTTTAAAGTCCCCAAGGAAAGAAAGTCATAACTTCATATCCTGAAACAACTAAAGAGAAAGGACATTTAACATTGTTTTTCCATGAGAATTTCCATTAAAGCCTTTGGAAAACCTGCTTCAGTCAGGAACTGAAACAAGGTCACGAGATTTCTGTGGAAAATAGTTACAATACTGCATTGCAAAAAAGAAAAATAATTCAAAATAAATGCTTTGCTCTGTGATACTCTCAAAAGTTCCCAGAAGTTCCACAGGTTAAAAAAAGGCCGTTCTCCTTCTCCTGTAATGTAAGAATTAATAATCCATTTTCCTTTACAGTAGTTGTCAGGAATCAGATAGATCTATATCCATGCCTCACGATAATGAGGGCACATGCCTAGCACAAACAGATGGCAGGTTAACCAAAGCACTCAGGTTAAATCTGTGTATTTGAGAGTCCTTCCCACAGAAGTGGGAGGAATAAAACATGATGGTATCTTCCAATTTGCAGTTTTTAAAGTCCTTTTTTGATAAATATTTCTATAGAGAAAGAGCAATTTGATGTAACTTTCTCCCTTTAGACCTACTCAACAGCAGGATACTGACATGTTTTGTCTGTGCACCCTCAATGGTTCATTTTGAGAATATGTATGCTTATGTAAGTGTGTACATAAATGCATATTTACATACCCTCTTACTAGAACAGACTAAGAGGTTTGATTGTCTGGTCTGCTTATTTTCTTTCTGCTTCTACTGCAGCATTCTCCCTCAGGCAGCACTCGAAGAAATCCACAAGTTTTCTGGGAGCTACACCTGCATGAATACTTTCAAAGGACGAACATAGACTTAATGGTGCAAGGACTGTTCTTCAGTGGAACCAGCACAAGCATGAAAATCCTGACAAGGCTGTGAATCAGCAGTCTTGGCTTTCAGCCTGTTCATGTGACTTGCGCTGCTCTGAGGCAACACATTTCTTGCAGGTCATATCCATAGTAACATGACCTTTGCACAAGATTGAATAACTAGACTATGGACCCTTGGAAAGAAAAACAAAAAGTGTGAACTGTTTGTATGATGGTTAATTCTTTAGAGTTCAATTGTTAAATCTACTCATAGTTTTAAGATGTAATTTTTGTTTCTCAAGTGTCTCTAGGCTGTTTCAGCACATTACACCCCATGCGTTCTTTCTGCCCTCTTCAGAGGAGCTGTGATTACAAACTGCTTCTGGTTTCATTTCAGCTTTTTCAATGAGGAACTTAAAAAATACTTTGAAGAACTAAAAGTTATGGACATTTAATGGAAGGTTCCTTCCTCTCCTTCACTTTACATCCCTTCATGAAGCTGTTCCCAAGTCACATCAGGGAAGGAACAAACTGTGGGACAATGTCTTACTTCACCTGAGAAGTCTGGAGGGGAATGCTCAGTCAAAAGAGCAGACAGTTTGAATAGTGGAAGATTCTTTCTGTCACTGAACTCATCTATGAAATTTAATTGTCTTTCTGGATATCTTTGTTCATTTATGATAAAATACATATATATTTTCAGCTTTAATCCCAGATTGCCATGCAGGTAGGCAGTATCACACTGGGGAGGAACTAAATCTAGAACTAAAACTAGAGTCTGCTTATACAAACATACATTCACTGACATAATCCATGCAGAAGAAAATCCATTGTTTGAATCTGAACAGTGAAGTAAGTGGAATAATGGTCTAAAAACAAAAGAGACAGTACTTTAGTCCTTATGAAATGTGAAGTTTGGAAGCACAGTTAGCAAAGACCTGATTAAATGCACATTGAATTCAACGGGGACTATACCCATTGTTTGTTAGGGGCATTGAGTCAGGCGCTGATCAGCCAGAAGTGATAAATACTGCTGGGACTGAAATGCCAGAAGCAGCTAGACATTATTTATTTTTGTGGTGATACATTCTCTTTGACAGCCTAGTAAGAGCAACACTGCATTCCTGTGCCAGATGCAGCGTGCAGCACGAGGCACAGTAACGTAGCTGGAACACTACTGAAAGAGGAATTAATATATTTGCAATACAAGGAAGCAGCAAGCCGAACTGGAGAACACCTGAATGAGTGCCTCAGGGAAGGCCACCTGGTTAAAGGAGTGAATTTAAGGCTCCTGAGTTGAATTTCAAGCTTTTCTGTAAATGTCCTCTGTAACCTGAGGCAAACTGCATAATCTCAAACCTGACCTGAAAAGCAGCTATTTATAGTGTGTCCCTACCTCAAAGTTGTAAGTCTGACTACCTAAATGTTTGCCAAAAACACAGCAAATTCAAATGGAACATGCTCTAGAAAGGGAAAGCAGTATTTCTTCAGAAAGTAAGAGCTTATGTACAAAAGTTTAGAAGAGGAAAACCTTCATATGCCCAAATATATAATTTCCTTTGAGAGACCTGATTTACAGCAGAAAAGCTGTGAGCTGTAGTTGAAATACTCCTTTGGTTCTGCCATGTAGAATGGAGACCAGTGATTTAGGTGCAACAATGTGAATTGAATGTTAAAAACTAGTAGCTATATATCTTCTTGAGCAGTTCAAGAGGAAGACAGCACCCAAGGTGCCACTGACACAAGCCCCTCTGGTTGTGGGGGTGTTCTGAGGAGCTCTCCTGCCTGGGTCAGTGCTTCCCTTCTAAGTGCAGAACATACAAGCTGTAGCACTGTGCCAGCTTTGGAAATGTTTCTTACAGTGGAGTTTTGTTTGAATTCCTAGATGTCTGAGGCTCTCTGGAGAGGATGAAAAGTAACTTTGATCTGTGATTTTGACACCCACCCTCATAGATTCTTTCAGCTTTATTTTTTGTCAATTTTTTGAGAAGAAACTCAGTTCATTGAAAACACAAGCACAATGAGGGGAGAGCCCTTCCAAGATCTGCCAGGAATACTGAAGGTACCATATTTATCACAAGGCACTTGGGAAGGGATGATCAGACACACCTATCCTGCACTCTAATCCTTACTTGTTTATCATTAATCACAAGCGTGCCAGACTTGTAGATGCAAGGGCAAACAGAATTGGTGAAAGAGGGTGCAGTCCTCCTTTAATTAAACCTTTATGCTGAGATTCTATTATTTGATAATATCATAATGCAAAAGGCAGATAAAAGCTGGTACACACATTGAAATTAAGTCCCCACGTGTTCCCAAATCCTTGGATGAATCTGCTCTTTTCCTGTCCTGCATAAAAGATGTTCCCTATCATCAGAGGTTGTCTTACATACCAAGTGCTGTTGATTTCTTTCTAATGAATATAAACAAGTCAGAACATAGCTGAGACTCTCATCATCTCACTCCTCTCATGCACATGCGCACAAACTTCCCTCTCTCTTTCCCTCAGGGTCTATGAGAGGACAGCAGGTCAAATAGCAGTCACAGTGGGGGAGAGGTATGCAGCAAACAGAAAATAATGAGAAAACATTGACTTTGCTTTTCAAATAGTAAGGAAGAGGTGTGTAAGAGAATTTCTCGTGAATTTTGCAAGACAGAATGCTCTTCATTCAGTGAGCTACTTGCAAATCTGGACGCATACATTTGAAGACTTGTTTTTTTATAGAAAGGCTCCTCTGGAATGCCTGCTGAGGTCTAGTGTCCCCTTCACATAAGGTTAGTATTGGGTAATTTCAAAGTGCTACAAATGTCCACAAGCTTTCTTGAAGCCTAAGGCCTTCTCAGAGGAATTTCCGCCCCTTGACTTACTTTAATTTTGGTTTTCCCTGCTCTCTCCACTGCCTCCTGCTTTCCACTGCACTAGGTTTTTTTCACTTCTGTTTTCCTATGTCATCACTGCACTTCTGCATGCCACCATCTTGAAGCCAGATGTCATACAAAGACTCTGGAGTAAGTTGAAATCTGGGTATGTATTTATTATCCTGCTGGAGGAGTCTAGGTGAAGCTGTAGGAACATGTCACTGACGTTTCATATGAAATTAGTTTTACTTGCTCCAATCTGTGAGGAAGTAGAAGAACTCTTACCATCATTTTTATTCAGGAGATTGCTGCTGGTTTAAGATGTGAACTATACAGAAATGTTAGCTGTTTTGGGACGTACGTTCTCCTGACATCAAAGACCATGTTTTAATGGGAAGGTTTTTAAGTTCCAGGAGGTGCTTTCAGAGGCTGGTGTTCATACAAAGTATTTTTCAGAATCAGCAAGGCAGGGCAGGGAGAGGAGGAGTCCTATGTAAGTAAATCTGATTCCTCATGTGAGTTTGTATTTTAGTTTTAATGAGGAAAACACAAGAATCATGTTCCCTTATGCAACTTTGGTGAAATTTAAAAGGCTCTTCCAGCCATATCCCTGCTGATAGCTTGGTTTTATCAGGATGAAGAAAAGAAGTAAGCCCTGAAGATGAGAACTTCACAGAAAGTGCCTGGGCAAGCAATTCTGATGTTTGTAAAGAGGAACTTGTTTTACTTTCATGTAAGGTGTTAATAAGTGTGGGTGGGTATGATCCCATCTCCTTTCAGACAACTCCCTGAACACTCCCACCTTCAGGTATTAACAGATAGTGCTGCAGTTGCCAAATCTCATAAAAACCCAGTCACAGACTCAGTACAGGCAAAGCGTAAATGGGTGCATTTATATTGAAGAGAATACATCTTTTTGCAGCAGGCATTAATGTGGCCTCATGCTTTCCTTGAGCTGAACTGCAGCTGTTGAGAAAAGAATACAGAGTGACCTTGGATCATCTATTTTGGTTTTATGTCTTCATGTAGCTTTAATAAACTTAATCTTGGTGACGGCCACTTTTTTGACAGCAACCTGTTCATAAATTTGGGGGTAAAGCAAGATTATGCCAAATGTAATCTTGCATTTTCACCAACCAACCAACCGCTCCGAGAATCAGAATACTCTGCTGTCTTTGTATTGCTCACCTTCCTGGTGCTAAGATCCTCCAACCTGTTATTGCTTCTCACCCTGCTGGAGTTTGGAGGCTGAGCAAAACCTGTCAGCCACAAGCAGCAGTTACATTCTCTAGTCAACAGAATCCTCTTTGCTAGAGTGCTTTTCTAAAGGAGAATTTGAGATGTGAATAGTGACAGATTTAGGATTGCTGAGGCTTTCTGACTCTCACAGATTTCAGCAACTAACATTGAGATGACAGGAAGAAAAGCAGAACTTTGTCTTCTCCCTGCTAATCATTCTCCTTTATCCACTGTTTCTTACAGGAAGCTGGAAATTTGGTCACTTTTCGACTGATAAACTGCCCCTCTTCTCACCCTCTAGTTTACTAAAATCACCTCAGTACATTTCTTCAGTCCTCTCAGGGAGTGGCAGCTTCAACAGAAACAGCCCTTTATTCTTGAGGAGAGTCAGATCATCAAGGTAATGTGTGAAGGAGAAGACCAGGCTCTGCTTTGATGGGTCTGAGCTACCCATAGCCTGTAGACTATTTATGGATGACCTGAGTGCTGCCAGTACCATGGCAGGTAGTGAGTTTCCTCTGCTCCTGTCATCTTGACACATAACACCCTCTTTTGCTTCTGTAACAGATGCCTCTAATGCTTTAGCAGAAACAAACTGCGTGGACTGGGTACAACTGAAAAGCCCAGACCTCTGAGGAAACAATTTGTATCTTTGCACCCTTGGGGACACAGAGTCCAAACTTAATAGTTCCTTATGCTCACCTTTCCTATGGGCATTGTCACATACTAATGCAGAAAAACCCCCGAGGCAAATGTGTATGTTGATTTGTGCATAAATCTAGAAAAGAACAGTTCCTCCTTAAATGAGAGAAGAAAGCACTCCAGTTGGAGCTGAGCATGAGTAAGCATATAAGAAAACAGAGGATGGATGCAATTCTAGAGGGAGTGCAATGGCCCTAAACAGACAGTGGTGAGACGCCACCTCATACTCCTGCAGTTAGCTAATGCTAGAGGCATGTGATTTCCATCCAAATACAAAGTCTATAAAAGCAGCACATTGTTACTCTTCATTCTTATGGGTCATCATGCCCTAAAAAGCAGTTCACTAGCTTTGTAGCCAGTTACTGTTTGCTCTCGTGTGCCATCCATCATGCCCAGATATTACAAGGACATGTGGTTCTCTGGTTTGTGTTAGTAATCATGCTGACCAAGTGCTCCCAAGTAGATGTGTTTCAGTTTTCTGATTTTTTCTTATTCAAAAGCATTTTTTTTTTTAATTCAGATTTTATTTATCTGAAAGAGTTGCCTCTGTGTTGTTCAGGCTTTTCACAGACAAGCATCCTAGACATGAATTTTCCCTGTCTATATTAATCGAACGATAATGAAAAGAATACAAAAGTGAAAAGTTGTTTGACAT